AGCGTGCGAGAATGTCTGGAGCTGTCGCTTGCAGTTCCGCACGGGTCAACCAACGATCAGCTCGATGAGTGCAGTAAGCAAAATGCACCAGATACTCAGTTGGCTTGTTGTCGTAGCGTCGCTGGGAGATGATGTCGCCGACCTCCTGAAAACCATCCATAGAAGGTGGATCCTGCGTACGTCTCCCGGGAAAATCATCATGTTCCGCAGGCGTGTACAAAGCCAATTTGGAACAATGAAAGACTGGGTAGACAGGCAAGTGACTAGGCACCTGAATCGTGAAGGAAGGCCCCTCAGGTGCGTCCCCAACGGGCTCAATGATCGGCCAGGGCCCCATCCATTTCGGAAGGAGCTTGCGAGAGATGTCCTGTTCAAGGCTGAATTCCGCTGCTGAAACCCAGACAAGGTCTCCGACGTGGAATGGACAAGGAAGACGCTGGCGATTTGCCTGTTGGCGCATGCGTTGTTGCGCCTTAGCCATCAGGTCACGTGCCTTGACAAGAAGCTCTTGCATCCGACGCAAGAAAAGAAGATGGTCGTCGCTCTCGGCCGTGCGTAGAGTAATCGTGTCCAAAGGTGACGTGACCGGCGAGCCGTGCTCGAACTCGAAGGGCGATATCCCAATAGCTGGGTGAATGGAAGAGTTATAGGCCAACTCAATGTCCGGCAGTCGCTCAACCCAATCTTTCTGGTCGGGGCGGATGAGAGTGCGAAGGAGAACGTGTGCGGTCTGATGCGCCCTCTCTGTCTGGCCATCGGTCTGAGGGTGGCGAGCTGAACTGGGCTTGAGAGATGAGCCTCATCGCTTGATGAACGCCAACCAAAAATCAGACATGAACCGAGTGTCGCAGTCGCAGACGATCTCCTTGGGGTAACCCTTGGTGCGAATCCAATCGGCGTAGAGAACCTCGGCCAACTCCGGTGCCTTAGCATGATAGCGGTAAGGCAAAAACATGGCGAACTTGGTGAGTCGGTCGACCACCGTGAGAATCCCATCCACTCAGGTCTTGTGCTTGGGGAACGGGCTGGTGATGTCCATGGCAATCGCTTCCCTTCGCCTCAACGGAACTGGCAATGGTCGTAGCTCGTCGTACAGACGATGATTGTGGGATTTGCAACGCCGACAAACCTCGCATGACTCGCAGTAGCGCGTGACGTTGCTGAGAAGGCCGGGCCACCAAAATCGCTGGCGAAGTTGGCCAATCGTGCGATTGACTTCAAAATGTCCAGTGGCGGGAGCGTCGTGGAACTCGCCAAGAAGCCGTGTACACAAGTGAGGATCACTCGGTACGCAAAGAAGGTCCTTCCCCCGCGTGTGGACAAGCAAGTACCCCTCCTGGATCCGGTAGTGAGAAGGAGCTGGATTAGGAGAGGAGCAATTCGCGTACTTGTCGCGAAACTCGGGGTCGGGTTGGTAGCCGCAGATAAAGCTGTTCCGCAGGTCATCGTCAATCTCGAAAGTCGAGTAGACCGCGGTACAATGATCCGGACGCCGTGAAAGAGCATCCGCAAAACGGTTAGACTTCCCAGGAATGTGATCGGGGAAGAAATCGAACTGGCCGATGAAAGCCATCCATCGAGCGATGGTGCTGTTGATGGTGTCCTGGGTCTTGTAGAAGACCAACGGATTGTTGACCGTTACCCAGCGAAACTGGCTTCGACCAAGGAGGAAGTGCCGCCACCGCTTGAGCGTGTGGACGAAGGCGAGGAACTCCTTCTTGTGTGCATCGTCAATGGAATGCACGAGGGGCACTTTCTTGCTCAAGTACTCGACCGGGTGTCAGTCCACACCATCATGTTGCTCGAGGACTGCACCAATGTCATAGCCTGACGCATCCGTAGTGACACGCGTAGGCGCGAGCGGGTCGTAGATTCGCAAGACCTCTGCAGACAACAGCGCGGCTTTGAGAGCGAGGAATGATCCCCGCGCCTCCTCTCCAAAGTCAAACGGCCGATCCTCACACTGAAGCTTGTTCAAGTGGGCCGCGATCTTGGAGTAGCCTTTGATGAAACGCTGATAGTAGCCGGTGAGACCAAGGAATGAGCGAACATCCGTGACGTTCCGAGGCTCCGGCCACTCCTGGACGACCTGAATCTTGTCCGATAGCGGACTGATGCCCTCCGGTGTGACAAAATGGCCCAAGTATTCCAGCTCTTGCCGGACAAACTCACACTTGTCGCGGTTGGCCTTGTACTTGGCACGGCGGAGCGTCTCCAACACTCGTCGAAGATGCCCCAGATGATCCTCCAATGACCGGTTGTAGACGAGAATATCGTCTAAGTAGACCAGCACGAACCGGTCCAACATCGCACGAAACTCATTGGTCATAGCCGCCTGAAAGGTCGCCGGGGCGTTGTGAGGCCAAAAGGCATGACCACCCACTCAAAATGCCCGTACCGCATCTTGAACGCGGTTTTGTAGCGATCGGTCGGCTGAATCGAGATCTGATGATAGCCTAATTTTAAATCCATCTTGGAGAAGTACTTGGCACCGCCCAGTCGCTCAAGAAGATCGTCGATGCGAGGAAGAGGTCCCGCATTCTTGACCGTCTACGCGTTGAGCTTGTGGTAGTCGATGCACAATCTCAGATCCTTGTTCTTCTTCCTGACGAAGAGAACTGGTGTTCCATATGGGGAGCTACTCGGGCAAATCCAGCCCTTGGCCAACAAATCGTCGAGTTGTGCGCGGAGTACCTCAAGCTCCTCCTCGCTCATCCGATAGATGCAACCTTTCGGCGGCACGACACCGGCCTCAAGAATGATCTCGTGAGAGATCGGCCGACCCGGCACCACACCGGAAGGTGAGGAATAGTACACGCCACTTCCGCGCCGAAGGCGTCGCGAACGCTAAGAGTCCACCGATGGAAGTTGACCGTGCGATCCGCACTTGCGAGCCAAGGCATTCCCAGAATGATATCGAAGTCCGTGTCGAGAATATCGAATGTTACCGGTTCGCATGCATGAGGTGCGAAATAGACCGGTACGGCCTCGATGTAACGGTCGAGAAGTTGCTGCGTCTTACCATCCGCCAACTTGATCGCCGTCGGGTTTGCCTTCCTCCGAACTTGAGCGCCAAGGCCAGCCCTTTGCATAAAAGACTGGCTCATGAAGTTGCGAGATGCACCGCTATCCAGCAAAGCGCTGCAGGACGCTTGCCCAACCTGGGTGCGGACATACATGAGCGGTGCATTGTTGTTATCGTACCGCTGCGTGCGAAACTTGCGGGCCACCTTGGTAATATATGCCAGGATGTCCCCCACCGCGACTTCGTCATCCGTCGGCGAAGTTGGTGGTGCATAGAAGGAAAGGTAAGTGTGGAGATGAGCGCTAAGTGCTGCGCATTGCGGTCCCGGCAAACAGCCTGTGGTCGGGAGAGGAAGCCATGCAAAGTCCTCAGACGTGAGCAGGTCCAATGCCTCTATATTGAACTCGCGCGCTGAATCCCGTGAATCACCACTTGAAGACGAATTGTCGCTGTTGCCGGACGGAGAAGAAACCACACACAATCCTTGTCCTTGAGCTTGAGAACCCAGTGTTGGATCGAGCGGGGCAGCATAGTCCTCGAAAGAAAGTAGGGGCGGAGGACTGTCGACTTCCGCGTGCGCCTCGGAATGAAGGCTGGTTACTCGCGAAGAAACCAGTTCCGAAGGCGTCGAGAGTGTCGTCGCGTCACTCTCGGCGGTGCTCGGTTTCCATGTTTGCCCTTGCCTTTCAATGGGCAAACCTGCGTCTGATGAAGATCGTTGTTGCACCAGAGGCAATAGTGGAATCTCTCACGCGCCTTGTATGAGGACTCGGAGATGCCATATGGGGTCCATGGGCTTGTCTGAGCTGCTGCACCGGGCCCGGGGCTAGAAACGGTGTGTGTCTTCGTCTTGCCGCGACCTCGGCCTCTGCCGGGGCGGCCACCTTCCCGGGCTGCTGCGAATCTGTCCCCTTCACTGGCAGACGCAGCCTCGCTGGATTGGTCGACGGGCGTTGCCGCTGCGACCACGACCACTCTTGGCCGATGCTGGTCCCTGCTCGGGCCTGACGCAGAAGAACGGAGGTTCTTGGCCTCCTTGTTCGTGATAATGATCTGCGCCGCCTTGTCGAATAACTCCGCCGTCGTCGTCAAGGTGTCCTCGACATGCGTCAAGGCATTGCTCAATGCCGGACATGACCTTGAGATGAAATAGTGGCGGATGGCTTTGAAGCCCATCTGGATGTCTGGGACAAATGTCAAGCGTTGGTACTCGGCGATCCAGTCCGCGCTCGGCAGCGAGCCCTGCTCGAAAACCATGAGCTTGTCCATGGCCTTGATCTCTGGCGGCTCCACCTGGAACCGCTTGTGCCACGCCGCCTTCAGATCATCCCAACTGATCTTGGTGTGCAAGTCGGCTGCTACTACTCCGTACTTGGATAGGAGGTTGTCCAACCAGGCCTGGCACGCGCCCCCTGAGCGAGAGTACAGGTAAGCGTGGTGCTTGTGTTCCTTGAGGTTGGCCAACTGCAGCGTGAGCTCGAACTTGCGGAACCATGGAATAGGATCTGTCTTCGTTGCGTCGCAGAAGATCTCCTGCCCATCGAATTTTGGAGTTGTCTCACGTGGTTCGGAACTCGAGGTGGTGGCGGTGGCGCAGAGCCGCTGCTGCAATTGCTGTGTCGCGGTCTGCTGCGATTGCACGCCGTCCTTGAGTGAACCGACGTCCATCTCCAAAGCATTGAGGCGGTCGGCGGTGTTGGAAGAGCTGGCGTCGGCGGCGGCGACCGGTCGCTGCTCCAGACGCTGAAGGCGGTCTTGGAGATCAGCTACCGAGTTGTCGAGGCCATGGATCTCCTCCTGCTGTGTAATGCAGGTGGCCAGGAKATCGGTGAGGTGCGAGAGGAGGAGYGCTATCTTGTTGGCGCTGTCCTCCAACTTGCCTTCCTCAGCCTCGGTTCGCCATGCTGCTGCCATGTTGAGAATCGCCGGCTCTCCGGTGAAGATCTTCTYGCGRYGTTGRTGTCTCTCTTCATCGGCAGCCCTTGCTGCTGCYTCGGCCTGCTGGCGCCGTTGCTCATCTGCCAGCAGCCGTGCCTGTTCGGCTTCCTYTGCCTTCCTCTTTGCTGCAGCTGCAGYRTCATCTGCTCGCTTCTTAGTTTCGGTGCACCAGGCTAACATGCGGGCCTGATAGGCCTCGTCTGTTTCCCCGGCCCTCTGGTCCATGACTGCTGTCTGTGAACGCAGCAGCATAGACCAGACTGGCCTGCTGACGTGTCCTGCTGACGAGTCCTGATGACGTGGCCGGATGACGTGGCCTGCTGACGTGGTCTACTGACGTGGTCTGCTGATGTGGCCTGCTGACGTGGTCTGCTGACGTGGCCTGCTGACGTGGCGGCTTACCAATGCCGTCTTACGGGGTACCCGGATACACACAGAGCAGATAAAGGCAGAGATGACAACAACATAGGTGGGGAGGGGTGGGTGGGATAATCGCCCAGCTCACACTTAGAAAAGGAGCCACTAATCAAAACAGAAAAGTTCGAACTTTGCAAAAAAAAATTCGAGAAAAATAAAAAATCCCGATTTTTTTGCAAGTTCGGTAGGTCTCCCAATCTCCCTTGAAGTACGAAATGATCACTGAAAGCGAAAAAAAAAATTCGACTTTAGACTGCAACCGATTTATAGTACCAACTGACAGAATCCAAGAACTGCGAAAAAGTCCGAACAGAAATGCCAAGTATTCGGATTTATTCCGATGGAAACATTCGCAGTTTGAAAATAATACGTGCAGGAGGGATTTCCCGTACCGTTTTCAGAAAAACGAAATTGAAAAAGAAGATATTCCGGCAACCCATCCAACTCCTCCTCCTGACTAACATTCCCGAACAGTTCAAGAAGCCTGAAAGGATTTGGTTTGGAATCATAAGGAAAGTGACATTCTGGGTCATTTGGAAGGAAAGATGCAGCAGGACGATTGAAGGAATAGCCAACGCACGTGAAAAAGTTTGGACCGAGACCAAAACGATGATTCAAGCGGAGATCCTATGCAGATGGCGGAAGATCAAACAATCATGGACAGAAGATGAGGACCAACAAAGAAAGGCGAGGCTGAGCTTCAGCAGAACCTGGCTGTTAAATGGTAAAGTGGCGGGCCTAAGAGAAGATCGCATCTGCTGGAAAGAATGGCACAACTCAAGTTCAGGGAAGGGTCACCAGCAACATACATCGGTGGAAGGACAAAACTTACTCTGACCAGAACGATCACAAGAGAGATCGATGGCTGCATCGGAGCGACGGTCCAGAGAGGAATGCAAGGTGTAAGGAGGAAGGACACCAGCAAACTGTAAAGAGAGGCCCAAAGTTCAGCTAAGCTTGGACAGGGGACGAATGACAACAAACACCTCTTTTATGAAGCCTGCAAACGTCTCAATTCTCTCCAGCACAGCACGCCGAACCGACAACATAATAGCTGAGAGGAGCAGGAATGAGGCCAACCAGAATAGTAAGAGCCAATTAATAAAAGCAGGCTAACTTATGCAGGGGTGAGGGGGGGTATATCCTTCCACAGGGAAGCAATCAATGCCGCCCGCTCGGGCCTCTCAGCCATAATGGGGAGGAGCGTGTGTGAGTATCCAAATGTATTACATATTGACTTGCCGGGGGAATAGGAACCGGACTGTCGC